AGATATTCTCTCTTGTACGGTTAGCGTAAGCTAACCATTGCTACTCGTGGATCAGCCAACCACATTTGTTAAAGGATATCGTGGAGAAAACTTTCTATAACCACACTAACCTTGTGCTAATTTTGTGCCAGAAGTTTACACACCTTATAAGCGAGGGAGTACTACCGATTTTTTGTAACCGTGCCACACTTTAATACTTTTATATCGGTCACAAGCTACCTGATGCTCTATCTGCTACTTTATCCTCTAAAATTGAAAACAATTATGAGGCTTGTTAGTTTCACAAGACACATACACTGATACACCATTTGGCATTGCCTCGCCGGGCGTGACAAAGTATCTCGTGGTCCCACTCGAGAGTCACCAACAAAGTCATGAGAAAATTATGCAAACAGAACATCAACATAATATGCATCTGCCATGCCTCCAAGCTTCAAATCTGAATCTAATCCACGCATCGGGAAACAAAGAAGACAAATCCCGCAACAAAAGGTAGTATCAAACTGGTTTCTTGTGGTGGAATCAGCCCATCAGTTTAAGTACTCGATTTGACATTGATGATCATATTTTTCTGAATTTATTTTAGCCTTTCCGACAATATTTGTTGAGTTGAAGGAGATGTACCGTCGAATATGAGGCGTCTATGGTGACTTTATCAGTCTTAAAATATTGTGTCGACTCAGTATCACGAATGTGCTCACAGGGATATGGTGTACATGCATACGTTCAGAGGGGTGAGCATCTACGATTATCCCGTGTTAAAAAGAAGTACCAAACTCAAAGCTATATTGGTTGTGCTTGGATTCAAATTTCTATGGGGTGATAGATACATTTTCTGTCAATGATATCGTCTAAATGCAACTCTACCAGAGTCATTGTATCCATTCGATCGCCCTAATAACCGCCGGCACTACGATTCTGATCGAAAAAGCACATCTAGCAGAATCATCATCATGCACTCCATCGCCATATTTTTTAGGCAACTTCAAGTCGATCCCACGAGCCTTTATATTTGGCGGTTGAGCAAAGGCGATATGGCCGAACATTTCAGGATGCACATTCCCTTCAGTCGTGGCCCACATCTTTGTGCCGCCACCATTTGATGCCTCCTCTGCTCCCGGACAACCGCAACTTGGTCCAGCTCGCCTTCGTGATGGTTTGTAATAATATTTGTTAATTATTTTTTATTTTAAATGAGACCAATCCAAGGGCTAACCCTTGTTGACTTATATTTATAGGAGAAACTCCGTGAGCACCGCGTGTAAGAGCCAAGGCTCGAACCCGGGTGGGCTGGCAGCTACCCCAGCTGCACAGCCAACGGGTCGACACCCTGTCCTCAATCATCAAATCAATATCGGAGTATTGCTCTAGCTGCTGCTGAATTAACCTGATTCTTTATTTTTACTTCAGCGATTTGTAATAATATTTGTTTGACTGTTTGATCTAAATTGTAGTAGTAGAGTAGATAGAAGAAAACAGAAAAGAGAAGTTATGAAGAACGCATTATGTCGACCCTGTGTTTCCACAATCTCCGCAGCCTTAAAAAAAATTATGAAGAGGCTGCGAGTATTATGGTGGGAGTCACTGGGAGACATCTACTTTCAATCCGGCGTCAGAGATAATGGGATACTAGTGCGGGCGCCGAACCCAGAAAATGCACGCTCCACAGAGTCCACAGATCCGCATAAACAGCAACGGCAAGAATAAGAATAACCTTCGACACGAACCAGCTGGAATTCCCACAAGCAGACCGACAATATAGTCCCTAGCAGCACACACCAACTGGCAAACACAACAGGACCTGCATGACACGCAGCATTAGGTGGTGGGAAGGGATCCCAATCACCGGTCACCACCAACGGATCTCGCCACCCATGTCCGTGCTCATTCACGCGCCGGTACAAAAGACGGGTAGGTCGGAGCACCAGGACACGCCCCGGTGGGTGGTGAGATCACACATCACACGTATCGGCTGGAGGGTCCAAATCCAAACTAAATGCCATCCGCAACGGTTGTTTAGGGTCTTTAATAGCAAGGACACAATCACACAAGTGAGCAACATCCTATAGGCTAGAGGCTAGAGCAAGCAAGCAACATGATATGCTTCACGGAAGCCACCAGTGTCCTTGCATGGATTGGGTAGGAGGGACGGCGATGGACGGGCCGGCCTCATGAGGACGCCATGTAATCGCTTGGGTCGGCGATGGACACCTCCTCGAACTCGTTGTCTGGTGAAAGGAAACGGAATGTTACAAAGTCAGCAAGTTTGAAAAACGCAGCAGCTATAGAGGAGTCATGGACAAACGACAGAACTAGTAAAGCTTGGTACTACGTAGCATTAGGAATCACCATATTTTTCAATAGCAAATTAGAATTGGGTACGTAGCATTGTTCTAGAGGGAACACGAGCCTAGGCACTGTAGTCTGTAACCACCATGGCATAATACAGAAAAGTTGTCATTTGCTTTGCTCCGGCATGGTATTTACAGGCAGGCAATTTGTAAATGTCCTTCAGGTTGCATCTCAACTTTAATGCTTTTATTTATTTGTTACAGTGAAGGAAATGAACCACAAGTTAATAGAGAGCAAGATGGATATAAAAATTCATTTTGTTGCACCGACAGTTTTGTAAAACATATCTCGCTTGTGATTGGATAATGATGATCTATCATGTACTACAGAAAAATAATAACAAGAATTATTCTTCATAAAGACACTTTGTACAAAAGAAGCAGTTGGTGGCAACAACCATTGCTACAAAAATGATAACTATGCCTGGTTGTTACTCAGAGTCAGGACAGAAGGAACACGAAGGAATAGCTCAAAAACAGACAACAAGCTAAACATTGAGTGCATAAGTGTCAAACATAAAGCCAAGTGATACTAGAACAGAACCTTTTCTCAATGCCAATGCAACGACGGCGTCATTCTCAACCTGCACACATATCAAAATCAACTTAAAGTCATGGAAGTGAAAAGTGGGTTAAGTTGAAAGGTGGTTTTGATCTGGAAATAAAATTAATAAACTAAGGCTAGACGAATCGAATTGTATCATGCCTACAGAACGTAATTTCCTCTGTGAACAGTAGGCAAATGTGCTCGCCGACAACTAACATATATTGTTACCTTTTGATCAGCAAGCGTCTTGGAGTCATCCAATATATTGTTGGTAGCCAACAAGATCAACCTCTGGTTATTAGGAGGGTGGTCTGTTATTGACTGCAGCTTCTGCTTGATATTCAAAATTGTCTCTGTTGGATCACACTGTATGAAGTAGGTAGTCTTGTTCCGCTTGACTCGAATATACATGCTTGCAAGCCTGCATCAGAGAGAGAGAGAGAGAGAGATATGCCTAGAATCATCAGCCAAGGGGGATAACATACTTACCTATCTCAAACAATCTTCACTACTTGACGCGTTGTCAGATCATTATCTTGTCAAGCATAAGATTTGTGTCTTAACATCGTATTCACAATTCTGTGGATCATGGGATTTTTCTTTGGACATGTGAAAACCGAAGGTATTCACGGGAAGTGCAATCTGCTGGAAAAGCAGCAACAAGTCCTGCAGCAGGAGCAGCTAACAACACACTGGCTATTTCAATCAGTTGTGGCGCCATGTATATTTCACCTATTGTAGCAAAATCCTTAAGTTATTACTGAGCGTGCAGGTTTTAATATCCTTTTTTCAGCTTATTATTATGTACCTTGTAGGCAACTCTTACATGTAATATGACCAAAAAGTAACCAAGGTAGGAGTATGCCAGGATGAACACCTTCGTTTTACTAGTAGCAATTACATGGTATAATTTCAGCTGGTGATGGTGGAAAGGACCGATTCCCCTGAAGACTGAATTTATTTAGAAGATAAACAAACAAATAGTACAGGCGCCCGAAATCAGCAATTCCACGAGTTCTTCCCCCCAACAACTAGCGCCTCGCGGAATAATTTTCAGTCACCACGAACACAAACACGCTAGATGCCCCGTCCTTGAGCTATTTCCGCCGTTCCGGAAGGGGGGGCTGTTAGATTCGCCCGCAGAGGAAGGAGACGCACCTGTCCGATCCGCGCTTCAACTGCCGGCGGGAGCGGGCCGGCGGATCCGGCCGGAGTCGGCGGGGCGAGCGAGGACGGCGGCGGAGGCGCGGGGGAGCGAGGCCGTGGATCGTTGCGTGGCTGGAAAGCGAGGGCAGCGTGGGGAGGAAGAGACGGAGAAGAAAGGAGAGGACGGTCGTCGCTGCCGCCGTTCATTGAGCGGGCCGTCAATGGTGG